AGGTGGCTGGGCGGGGTTCGGGGCTAAAGGAGGTGAGAGGGCACTGGGGTGCCTGGGGAGGTCTGGGGAGCTCCTGAAAAGGGGTTGGAGGCGATAAAAGGGAACTTGGGGGTGTCCTGGGAGAGACTGGAGGGATTAAGGGGTTTTGGGGAAGTCTATGGGGGTTTAGGGGTTTTAGGTTTGAGGGGTCCTATGGGGGATACTGGGGGGTTTAGGGTCTCTATAGGGGACTATAAAGGGGGGGGGGTGGAGGATTTGAGGGATTTGGGTGGGTTTAGGGAGAGTTTGGGGGAGATCTGTGGAATCCTGGGAGGGTTTGGCTGAAGTGGTTATGAGGGGCCCCAGAGGGTTTTGGGGGGATATTGGGGGGTTCGGTGTCTGCTGGGGTGTCTGTGCTCCAGCTGCCACGAGTGTGTCTATCCAGGCTGAGGACAATGCCAGGCCCTGCAGAACACACTGCAGCGGCACAGGAGGCACAGAATGAGCTGCCACAGCACCACTGGCACCTGCAGAAGGCAGGACACTGTTACAGAACCACTGAGGCTGGAAAAGCCCTCCCAGCCCATCATGTCCACCCTGTGTCCCATCCCCACCTTGTCCCCCAGCCCAGAGCACTGAGTGCCACACACATCCCCAGCCCTTCCTCGGACACCTCCAGGGATGGGCACTCCACCACCACCCTGGGCAGCCCCTTCCAATGCCTGAACACCGTTTCCAGGAAGAAATTCCTCCTGACGTCCGACCTGACCTTCCCCTGGCACTGCTAAAGACTGTATTAGCAGCAGTGGCAGACGAACCAGCTCAGGGCAGGCAAGGCTTGGCCAGGCAGGGCCCCCTCGGTGACAGGGACACAAGACCCCACGAACATCCCTGCGAAGGGCAGAGCTGAGCAGGGACCAGCCCGGGCCGCACACCCCGGGCAGACCCACGGGCCCTGGCCCCTGTGCTGTCATTCCCCACGCTCACAGCCTCTCAAGCTGTTCGGGGGTCTCTGCCCACTCGGGGCAGTCACAGCTCTGGAGCTTAGCCCGGAGCCCTCGGACTGTGCACGGACAAGGAGGGCCATGGGCCACGGCCTGAGGGTCCCGCCGGGGACACGGGACCCTCCAAGCACAGGAGGGACGAATATCCCCCCGCAGTCCCCCGTTCATGGAGTCGAGGGCAGACCCGCCGCCCCAGCGGTGCCACGGCCCTCGGTGCCACCGGCGAGCCGCGCCACGGCACCCCCGGCTCGGGCACCGGGACAGCCTGGGAAGAGCCTGGGGGGACACCGAGCCCCTCTGGGCTGCCTCAGAGCCCCCGCTCCCGTTCCCGCTCCCGCTCCCGTTCCCGTTCCCGC